ACGCTATTAACAACTTCAGTATAATAGTTAATAACAGGTTTTTCGATAAATTCAAAAAGTAGCATTTTTACAACTTCAGTAATGTCGGTGACAAGTTCCATAACTCTATTAACAATTTTAGTATGATACTTAACAACAGGTTTTCTTAAAAAAATAAAAAAATAGCATTTTTACAACTTTAACAACTATTTTTTTAAAAATTTTTTTTACAATTTTAGTATAACGGTTAATAACTTTTGTAACGCTATTAACAATTTCAGTATAGCAATTAATAACATGTTTTTCAGACAATTCAAAAAGTAACATTTTCACAACTTCGGTAATGTCATTAAAAAATTCAAAAACCTATTGTTGGCTATTATACTGAAGTTGTTGATAGCGTTACAAAAGTTGTTAACCATTATACTGAGTTGTAAAAATTTTCAAAAAAATTGTTTCCAGTGACAAGAGCTCCGACGATTAATTGTTGAATTTTCTGAAAAACCTATTATTAACTGTTATACTAAAGTTGTTAACAATATTACAAAAGTTGTTAACTGTTATATTGAAGTTGTAAAATTTTTTTTAAAAATTGTTTCCAGCCGCCAGAGCTTTAGCGACAAATTATTTAATTTCTCGGAAAACCTATTATTAACTACTATACTAAAGTTATTAATAATGTTATAAAAGTTGTTAACTGTTATACTAAAGTTGTAAAAAATTTTAAAAAAAATTAGTTGCTAAAGTTGGAAAATGCCATCTTTTTTGAATTTTTAAGAAAACCTGTTGTTAAATATTATACCGAGGTTGTTAATAAAGTTACGAAACTTGTTAACAGCATTACTGAAGTTGTAAAAATACTACTTTTTTGAATTTATCAGAAAACCTGTTGTTAATCTTTATACTAAAATTGTTAATAGTGATACAAAAGTTGTTAATTGTTATACTGAAGTTGTAAAAATTTTCAAAAAAATTGTTTCTAGCCACTAGAGCTCCAGTGACCAATTGTTGAATTTTCCAGAAAACCTGTTGTTAACTACTATACTGAAATTGTTAATAGCGTTACAAAAATTATTAACTATTAGACTGAAGTTATAAAAATTTTTAAAAATATTGTTTTCAGTCACCGGAGCTTCGATGACTAATTGTTGAATTTCTCAAAAATTTGTTGTTAACTGCTATACTGAAGTTGTTAATAGCATTATAAAAGTTGTTAACCATTATACTGAAATTGTAAACATTTTCAAAAAATTATTTTCGGCCGCTGGAGTTTCGACGACCAATTGTTGGCTGATCGCTGAAGTTCCGGTAGTGGCTGCTCCGCCGACGCCAGAACTCCGGCAGCCGGTCGGCCAGTGGGGGTTTTGGTTTTTTTAAAACAATAAATAAAATAAAAGGCAATATGATCATTTCAGTAAATTTATAAAGGTCAAATTGGTTACTTGTGACTAAATTAGGATTTTACAAATTCAATTGACCATTTTGGCATTTCCAAAATCATATATAATTTTTGTGTCATTTTCCCTATGCAAAATTTGGTTTTTTCAATTAAAATCAAAATTTGGTTTTAACCACCATGCATAACCTTGACAAACATGAAGCTCCCAACTTCCAAATAGTGGCGAGTGGGGAAAAATAAAAAAAAATGAAAAAGGAAAAATAGTTTTATAAAAATATATTAATTAATTTTAATGCTTCATAGTAAATATGATCCTATAGTTCTTTTAACACAAAAACATTGGAGAGAATGAAATACCTCATGAATTTCCAAATGATAAATAGATGATTTTGACTTCTCAAAACAATTATAGAAGTAGTCAAAATAATTACAAGAATAGTCAGCTTGACTTATTTGTCTTTTTAAAACTCAACAAATATGTTTCTGTCATTTTCCCAATATATTATGCATTGGTCTGTTTTTCCCAGTGAAAATGAAAAATTCTGGAACAATAAAGTTGAAATTATCATTTTTCAATTCAGTCATCTAAGAGTTGAAAATGACAAAAGACGGAGTGATACTTGTTTTGGTATTTTGCAATATAATTAAGTGAATAAAATGTCCTTGTATCATATTTGGAAAAAAAAAATCAAACATGTCATTGTCAGTATATTTCTTGGCATTGGCTATTTAAAACTTGTTATTATCGATTCACAACTTATTAATAAATAACTTATTATTAGGAGTGGAAACAGGTTAGACAGCCTGTCAGGAGTTTATGACTTGGCTTGCATTTAGCCTAACCTGTTTTCAAAGAGAAGCAAGCCCGGGTGTGTTTAACTTTACAGGCCAAGCTTAGGCTTTTTAAGAAGCTTGTTAAGCCGGCTTGGCCTGTTATAAATTTATAATTATAATATATGAAAAAATTAGTTTGTAGTAGTATTATTAATGTGCTTCTTTAATTTATTTTTTAATTTTAATATATAGTTAATGGCTTAATGCTTCCTTGGATTTTGAGGTTTATTTGACAAGTGAAGATAAAAAAATAATTTAAAATAATAAAATCAATAAATAATGTTATTTTTAAGTTTTAAAAAAATAAATAAAATAGGAAAGAAAATTTTGTTCCAAGAATGATAAATTAATTAACTTATGTATTATGGTAATTAAATTATGACACCCTCATTATTCATTGTAAAATTAATAATTTGTTTTCCCATTTATTTGTCTTGATTTTAATTTTCATTTTGTACTTAAATGTAGTCTTGTTCTAAATTTTAATAAACAATTACACCTAGTTTTCAATAATATCCTTGTAAATTATAATTAAAATTAAAATTAGTACTTATGATACTAAAATTTAAATAAAAGATAATATTTAAAAATTAATTATTATGTATATTTTTTTTTTAAATTTTAGCTTTTTTTTTGACAGATCACTCTGTAATTTGAATTTTTTAAAAAATATAGACTCTTTAACATGTTTCAAGCCAGGCTTATGCTGAAAAATAAACCTGTAACGGGTTACAGACTAAGTTCAGGCTAATGTGCTACAAAACAAGTCTAGCATATTAAAAATAAGACCTGACCCAGCTTGTTCCCACCTTTACTTATCATTATCAATATTTTTTTATTATTTGCTATTTAGCACTTGTTATTACTAGTTCAAAACTTATTAACAAACTTTTTGATGTAATGATATTTTAGTTATTTAATTATATTTACAAAATACTAGATCAGATATTTTTTTTCTGTCTTTTTTATTCTTAAAGGTTTGAATTAGAATATTACATTTTTAAAATTTTTTATTTATGATTTTTCTCGTGAAAAATGCAAAGGAAAAAAAATTAAAGTATATTTTTAGTCTTTTAACTTTGTACTCCTCCAGTCCTTAATATAAGCCCAAATTGTTGAGTTTGTTTTAATTCTAAATATAGGACCCATTTCTCATATTTATCAATTTTCTCTAAATTATCCCCATGGATACTTCATCAACTATAATCAAGTAGAAGAGGAAGATGGGGTATTATTAAGAAAGATAATTACGGTATTTTAGAAAAAAACGTGTCATATTTCTTATAATTAACTAACTTACTTAACTTCCTTAATATAATCAAATTGGTTAAATGGGTCTTATATTAAGGATCGGAGGAGTACAAGTTTTTAATTTTATTTCTTAATTTTAAAACGTATACTTTTAGTCATTTAATCCCAAATTTTTTTTTAAAAACGATGACATTAAAATCTTAAATGTTGATAAGATATTTTCAAATACTAACATATTAAGTTTAATTTTCAAAACATTCATAATTGTTACAAAAAATCATTATCAAATCTTAATGATTTTAGGATTAAAAGATCAAATATATATTTTTTAAAATTAAAAAACTAAATTAAAACCTCGTAAAAAAAATTAAAAGAGCAAAAAAAAAAACTGGGAGGGGCGTAAACAACCCCCGGGTAGAGCCGGGAATCAGGGCTGGCTCGGCCCTTCGGCCCTTCAAGGCTGGCGGGCTTAAAAGGGCCGGCCTTCCATAGCTGAAATTTTAAAAATACCCCAATTTGCTAGGCCTGGCTCTTAAACTATAGGGTCAGGGCCGACCCGCGGGCTTTTGGCCCGTTTAAGAAAAAATACTATTTTTTTATATTTATCATATTTTTTAATAAAAATATAAAAATAAACCAATGAAATTATTAATAAAAGACATAAATATGACTAAAATTAAGTCATAAATATAAAATATCATCATATATAAATATTCATTAACATATAAGAACATCTAAAACATTCATTAACAAGATAACAACATCTAAATTTTTTATCTATAATGCAATTGTGCAATAAATAAACACTATCATTAATCTTTTGAAACTTCATCATCACTATAATTAATTACTTTTCTTCATAAGTATGCTTTTCTTTCGTAACAAAAATATCAAGTTTTTCTTCTTTATAAGAATTTTATTTTTAAATTTTGCAATCTAACTATTATTTTACTTTAATGTGAGAAACATTGTTGTTGAAGCTCATGAATTTCTAATTCAAATTATAGAATCACAAGTTATATAAGTATAAAAATATTCTATTATCAAATATATATATATATATATAGTTTAAAAATATCAACGCATATAATATAAATCAAATCATTATTAAAGTCCAAATTAACCCATTTTTTAAAAATTTAATTGGATAAATTATTGTCTAAAACTAAATTTAATTTTAAAATGATAATAATAACTAAATATTTGAAATATTATTAACAATATAAAAAATTAATAACATTAATATTATATAAAAAATTTAAAAAATAAAAAAAATTATAAAAGGGCTTAAAAGGACCGGCCCGCGTGGCCCTCCAGGGCCGGCCCTTTTAAGTTTTCGGCCCTCCAGGACTTATTTCTCATTTTAAGAGAAAAATATCAAGTCCGACCCTTATAATTTCAGGGTCTAAACGGACCGACCCGATGGGCTCGGCCCGTTTTTCCGGCTGTGCCCCGGGGAAGAAAAAGGCTTGTATAAATAATGTAATGGCCTAATGGTCCAAATCAAAGTCTTCGATCTATCGAACGTCACCAAATTTTCGTCCAAACCGCGAAAGCTGCATTCATCCCAGCCCCACACCCTTCCTCTCAAGCCTTCTCTCTGTATTTCATTTCAATTTTGTTCATTCATTGCCAAAGCCTGAGAGCTCAATCTTTGAGGATTACGACTTACTGAGACGCCCAGAGAGAAAAAGCACTGTGACCTTGTGTCGGGCGAATCTCGTTTTACTAATTCAACAATGGCGTACGTCGATCACGCCTTCTCGATTTCCGACGAGGATATCATGATGGAGCCATCTTACGTTGTCAACAACAAACCTCCCATCAAGGAGATCGCCCTCGCCGTTGCTCTTCTCTTCTTCGGAACCCTCGGTATCATCATCGGTTCAATTATGACCTACAATCGTGTCGGCGGTGACACAGCTCACGGTATTCTTTATTGCGCTTCCTTACCCTTCCCTTTTCTTGATTTTCATCAATTTTAAGTTTCCATGTTGATTATTCTTCTCCCGATTCAAAAAAGAAAAGGCTGAATTTCTTTTTAAATGAAAGGAGCTGACATTTCTAATAAACTTTCATATGTTTTCCCATCTTTCTTGAAAGTTATGGAGAATTAATACTCTCTCTGGATTTAATTTCTCCCCTTTTGATTGTATAATTGGTTATTGCCTTCTTTGGTGGGTGGAATATTTTGGAATTAATCGTCCAACTGAGGGAATTTGAAAGACCTATCTGATATTATCTAGTTCAGCATCCGTTACAGTATTATTAACTACTAGGGGCTTTCTAACCGGTTGAGTTTATATTCAGGGCTTTTCTTTGCAATACTGGGAGCCATCTTGTTCATTCCGGGATTCTACTATACGCGGATTGCTTATTTTGCCTACAAGGGATACAAAGGGTTTTCTTTCTCTAACATACCGCCTGTGTAGCTGTGTCCTATATGTCAAGGTCAAATATCACTCTGTACAGATCGTCAAGGGTTGTATGTTTTTTCTTATCTTGTTTGTTCTCCTATGGTTTTGCCGGCAAATAATGTGTATTTACATTACAGGTGCTCAGAACACAGACCAAAAAAGAAAAAAAGATTACATCTGCTTGGAACAATATATACAACGCTGTTTAAAATTATCTTCTATATAATATGCTTTTATCTTCTCTAAATCGCTATTGTATTTTTACTCAATCAAAATATGCGATGAATACTGAAAGCTAGAAGGTTTAATCTAAGGCCTTTTTTCATTGTCCTTTCTTGAAAATTCTTCCCCGTTTCCCCCTTTCTTCTACTTTTGCAATCTCTTGGCTATTGGAAATGTATATTATTTCTAGGTGACTTGTAGGGATGACTGAGACGTTCCTAATGTAAAATTTTTATGCTATTTTTTTTTTTGGGCATCCTCGATTAGCTATGTGGAAGTGATTTTACGATGCTCTAGATAAATATACGAGAGTAATTTTTGCGCGACTTGCTTGAAAGTACTTTCTTTAAGTGCTTCTAAGGGGTTCCCAAACTCCCCCGTAGTATAAGTGGCAGGTGGTCATAGGATGGGTCCTTGATATGCCATCTGTCTGCCAAAGTATGTTTGCATTTTTATCCTTTAACAATATGTTGGTCACTTATCATTTGGAGGTAAAATCTGATCTTGCTTGAATTCATTCAAAATTGTTTGTTTTGGTTGTGTATAATGTAAGCTGCCAATAATCAATGTCAGTGATATTGAGATTTTTTGGAAAACTCTTTATTTTGTTTTTTGTTGTCTCTTTTATCGTCTTGGCGGGACATTTGACTCCCCCTTATTCATGTTTTTTGGGTTTTCTAGATATATATACATGTTGAGATATGCAGACAACCGGCAGAATTTTTGGGAACACTCTTTCTCCCTGTTTTGTGTTTGGTTGTCTCTTTTATCTTCTTGGTGGGGCATTTAACTTCCCTTTATTCTTGCTTTTTCTGGTTTTTTATATACATATGTGTGTGTGTGTGTGTTGAGATATGCTGACAATCGGCGAAATTTTTTCTTGACTGAAATTTACCCTCCTCACCTTCGGCAATACATTTGTTTTGATTGAGGATGTCATTATAGCCTTGGCCTCAGTTTATGTTTTGATTGTTGATTTCCTGTCTGAGATTTTAAAGCCCATGTTTGATATCAACCTCCAAGTATGCCCAGTAATGATAAAGGTTTTGTGAGCATAATTGCTCCAAGGCTCAGATAAATTAGCCATTGAAGTTTATTAGGGCTAGGGGGTATTTGAAGTCCTATCTAAGTTTTTCAGGGCAAGTATGATTTGAAGCATTGAAATTATAAGGAGTAAACTTTATTCTTTTAGCTATTGATTGGCTGAATTGGTTGTTTAGGACTTTATCACAAGATTTTAGTGTGACAGCTGTGGCTTATTTGATCTCTGGAGACAGATCATAACATAGATGATTCTTGCCTTGTTATAAATGGAACATATGTCTTAACCATTTGCTCCAGCAATATAACATCGATTTGTTTTCATGTTCAATATGTTAATGGAGTTAGAGTACCTTGGTAGCTTGAAAGCAAATGGTGGCGGGATATATTGACAGTGAAATTACTATGAAACTGCATCATGTAAGAGTTTGATAGAGTGGTCATTTTCTTTCATGCATAGCGAATTTGTAATTAAAGTATTTTAAAAATTTGAGTCATAGTTGGTAATTATGACTTGAAAACTCAACTTCCTCCAAATATATTTAGTATATAATATATTATTTATTTCAATGCCCGAAAAAATTGATCTTAGAGACAATTGTATGATACACATAGATGCAAATAAAGGATCTTAAAATTTTTTTGAGGTATCAAATTGCAGATATATATTTGTTTTTCTTCATTCATATGAGAGCTAGAGCTCCTCAAAGCTTTCTGCCTCGTATGCCTCGACTTCCAGAGTTTTTCTTGTCTCGCCGATTTCAAGTCTTCCTCCTGACATTTTCAGATATCTTACAAGTTAGTAATCCTTTCTATGATTAGTTCAATAAATTATCGGCCAATTGAACTAATCCTTTCTGCATGCTTCTGGATGATGGTTAAGACGCCAATCCTGCTTCTTGATGCTACTCTGAGGTCATGTATCTAAGACATCATCAGAATCTCAAGTGGTTTCTCTGATTTTGAAATCCAATTCCGGAGTTTGCAGTGTAGCCTTCTATCTTCTTACAAGAAAGACTGGATCGACATCATCAATTCAGCTGGCAGCTGCCTTGCTTTTTTCTGCTACCCCACATGAGCAAATCACGGATAGTTATACCTCAAGAAGTAGTTTTGGTGTCTTAATCAATTCATCTGGTGTGATTTGAGCTTGAAGCAATCGTAATGGGGATTTTCTAACCTTGCGCCAAATCTGTGAACATATGGTGTATAAGAGGTAAGACCCGAAATGGGAGAGACTTATAAATTGTGGGCGTGGTGGGCGTGACACGAACTATACGCAGGGAGGTTTATTGAGGTGATATGGCTTATTCATGTGATTGAAAAGAGAAATACACCTCACAGAAAGTCGTGATGATATTTATACTAGGACCTCTTATTTTTGAAGTGTCTGTGTTTACGAGAAACACAAGCTATGCTGGTTATGGGATTATCGTCCTAAAGTATCCTTGGTCTTTTTTTTTTTTTTTTTTTAATTCTTAGTTTTCTACCACCTAACATATGGGCCTCAGCCCGAAACACTTGAGGCGAGGTGAAGATGCAGGCATACGGCTAGTGCGAAAAGATTGGAACATCGTTCTTCTCTTTTGTTTGGGGTAATATTTGGATCTATCGACTATTTTGCCTTGTCTGATTTTTTTTTTCATACAAAAAAAATTTAGGTGAGTTGAATCTCAAGAGCTCACCAGTGCATTCTTTCAGACTCAAAAAATGTTTGTAGAGATACTTACAGATCATTTGAATTCACAATTTTGTAGGTTATGAGTTGACTTTTTACCAAATTGACCAACTCTTATTGTGTTGTCTGATTTAAAATAGAGAGGAAGTTTCTTGATGTAATTTTTTTTTTTTCACAAGATGGATTTTAAACTAAGAAGAATTTTTTTGACCAAAACTTAAAGTAAGAAGAATTCAACTCTGCTATTCGATCGTTTTAATCACTATTGGTAATTATGCAAATTTTACGTTTTTTTAATAGATGTGCTATCGTGTATAAAATAATTAGGTTTTATATATATGCCTATCGTGTCCATGTAAGTTTTGAATATTAGTGAGTTCAATAAGTTGATAATATGCTGGTAAAAAAAAAAAAGTTATTGATAATAATACCCCTTTTCACCGCACGTAAAGTAATGGAACTCGCACTGCTATGATTATTGATAAATGCGAGCAGCTTCAGCACTTCAGCATCAATTTATTTGAATTAATAATATGGAGCAGATCAACAAAAACCATTGACTTTGGGCTTGCTTGTATTTATAATTTAATTACTTATAAATACTTTTAGGTAAGTAGAAATAAAATTTTCCTCACATAAGTATTTTGTAAATTATAGATGAAAAGTTATCTATGAACCATTCCAAATAAACTCTTTTAAGGATATAAATCTTCTAAAGTGCTTTAAAAAACATGAAGTTAAAGAGATGCAGAAGAAGAGAAGGGGCTCCCAGGCCTCTTAAATTTTTTAAATTTCATTATAATATATTTTTAGAAGACCCTTTCTCCATCGTGCCTTCGCAGTTATGGAGTGTTTAGGATTTAGGGAGAATTACATTCAAATTCTAAAGAAAAGAAATTATTACTAAAAAGTCTCAATAACAATTTGAGTAATCTGTAATGACAAGTTCTAGAGTAGAGAATGATAATCTTTAAGATTTGGTTTGTAAGTTTTTTCTTCCCTTAAGATTTCATTGTAATTCTCTCTAGGATTTAAGTTTCAATGCGTAGACGTAGTAAACTTTATTAAATCACACATGGATATGTGAATAGTACAACTTTGTAAAAGATTTGATTTAAAGTATTTCTCATAACAATGGCAACGTATCAAAATATATTGCCTTTAATTTCCTGAAAAGTTTAACGAGATCTCTCTAATGAAGCTTCATAAACAAGAGATCCTATTCACATCTCTCTCTATCTTTACATACATATATGCGTGCATGCATACATATATGTATATTTAATTTTGTATTTTATTTTACAAATGCATCTAAAATTTGTGACTAACCTAAACAATCTGATGGCCTAATACGTAATGTGGTTAACTCATTTGTATAGCAAAAATTTTGATGAATCAGGTCCTAAGTTTCGAAGGGCCTTGCTTGGATCATTCAATTGGAGAGTCCAAACTAAAATTTTTCTTACTCACCTCTCACCGCAAGGAGAATTTATAAATTAAAGTTGTTACAATTTATCAGAATCACAGCAAAACCAGTACTCGTTCCCACACACCAATTTTAAAAAGAAATGACTGACACCCAACATTTAATCACAGTTCTTTTGTGTGTGTGTGTGTGAGAGAGATATATATATGATGTCGTTGCAAAATCTTCAATATGGCAAATAGTTAGTACTGGTTGAGAATTGTAATATCTAAAAACCCTAATTTTTAGATGACTTTGGAGGATTAAACCTAATTTTGCATGACATTTCGGTATGCCCTTTAATTTATGTGAAAGTTGTAGAGGCACATCAAATCCAACTTCTTGCAGGAATATACATGGTAGGGAGGTTAAGAGAATGGTATACATATAGGTAATAATTGGTTGTCTAATTGGAAATGGTTAATTAATTAAGCTTGTGGATCTAATTACCAGCTCTTCTAGAGTTTGATTATTGATTTTCATATCATGACAAGATCTAAAATTCCAGAAACAAATAAGACAAACTAATAATAATTGCTCGTGGTCTTGCTCTTGCTGTTGGGAGAGGGGGTTAGTTAGTCCTCCTTCACCAACCAGTATTAATTATTAAAGACGCAAACTTGCACACAGTCCTACATGCTCTTAAATTATATAATTAACCCATGAAATTTGAGAGAGCATAGGTTTAAGTAATTAAATAATAGGTAGCATGACAAAATGGAATTGTGTGTGTTGTGAGATGCATATAGAAGAGGTACTATATAAGCAAATGTGGACACACTGACACACACACCATATAAGCAAATAATGTAACAAATGTGGGAACACACTTTATAGAACAAATTGTCAAATAAAATTTACTTGAAAAATTCCAAGATAGGCGTTGATATATCAAGTGAACGATTTACATGAGTATGCATATTACAACAAAAAAAAAAGTTTACGATAGAAATTAAAAAAAAGGGGAAAATAAACATCAAATACCTTGCAAAAATCAAAAAGACAAAAAAAGGAATCCAAATAAGGAAAATGTCCAAATGGTCATTAGGTATGAATATGTGATTTTCAAGTTTTGCTAAAGTGACTAAAATGCCCATGAAGTGAGAGAAAAAACAGCTGAATTTGAAAACACTCAGAACAGAGCAAGACATTGAAGCAACATGTGAAAGATGAAAGCTGAAAAGAGGAAGCTTGGAGCAACACATTTAACGCTGGAAAGAGCAAAGTGTGAGTCATTTATCTTTTGAAATGCTATTATCTTACTCCTCTGACCATCATCATTTTGCAAATGTTGTTCATTTGGGTAGGTTTTGCTTATGGGTAAGTAGATTTGTAGTAGGAAAAGGAGTGAAGTGCAGTATTACATAAGTGAGTAGAAGTTAATGATGGGGTTTGGGTTCTTCATTTTTATGGCTTTTTATCGTTAGATAGGGATAGGTTTGTTGGTGAGGAGGGTTTAGATTGAGTATTTGATGAGGATGAAAGATGACATATTAGAAATGAAAAAGTGGGGGCAATGATTACATGCTCATGAGGATTACATGCAAATAATAAGCATAAGATGATTAGTGTTGTTAAAATCAATAGTCTAGTTGTGAAATCCTATGCTGAAATTGTTAATGAAAGAAGAGTGTGTGTGTGTTCAACACCATGCATGTTGATGAAAAATGATTGTTCGAGAATGAAAATTTTGATTTATGGTTGTTTGTTGGAAGTTGTGAATCTTATTACATGTTTTGAAAAATTGTTTGCAAATAGATTAAGAACAGGTTGCAAAACTCATTATGAAAATTGTTACTTTCATTTTGCTAGTTGTTATTCATGTTACATATTCAATGAAATTGTGTGCTTAAAGAATAGATTAAGAATGGTTTCAAATAAACAAGTTACAAATATCATTAAGCAACTACCCAAGTTGTTAATCCCGTTAACATGTTTAATAAAATTTATGTGCAAATGGATTAAGAACAAGTTGCAAAACTCATATCGAGAATTGGCACTTTTATTTTCACAATTATTATTCACGTTATATATTCAGTAAAATTGTGAGTGAATGGATTAAAAATGGTTCCCAAGTAAAAACAAGTTGTAATGGGTGTAAATCTCTTGAAAAATAAGTTGCGAATCCCATTAATCAAGGGTAGTTCACTAATGTAAGTTGTGAATTTCATTACATGTTTAGTAAAATTTGTGTGTGTAAATGGATTAAGAACAAGTTACAAAACTCATCACAACAACTGTCACTTTCATTTACCAAGTTGTTATTTACGTTATATGTTTTGTAAAATTGTAAGTGAATGGATTAAAGATAGTTCCAAATAAACAAGTTGCAAATTTCCTAAAAATAGGTTGCAAATCCCATTAAACAAGTGGTAAATTTCACTACATAAGTTGCGAATCCCATTACATGTTTAGTAAAATTTTGAA